CCCGATAAAACATCATTGTATTGTGTAATTATTCACGACTGTCAAATGGAATACAACGCATTCACGGGAGAAGTACGAAAAATTTAATGTAAATACAAATTTCATTTTTTATTATTGTACAATTGACAATATAGTATAGAAACAAAAAATGTATATATAATTGCTATAATGTATATATATAATTTTTTTTAATAAAAAAACTAGTTGTTTTGTAAACTTGTTATTTTATTTCAATCATCTTCGAATTTGACTGGAAAAGTCACGATCTTTCTTGTCAATTTTTGGCAAAGTATCTATTCCTAGAAATGATCTGTTTGTAGCCANACCAATTCCACCACATTGGAGAAGTAATATACACGCTGAAAATTTTTTTTAAGTTTAAGTTTTAAGATGAAAAAATTAAATATTTTTAAACCTACTTTCATGTGTGGATAATCACTGAAGATAATTTTCAATGTTTTAATACAATCNTACTGAAGATAATTTTCAATGTTTTAATACAATCTATACATTGACGAATCGATCAAGTCATTGATTTTATTGAATTTACACCTTGGTGTAGCCATTGTGATTAAAGTCTCAAGGTCCAATAGTCTTTACTGTCGCTGCGGTTCGCATTCGTCGTCTTTTCAATTGTTTCGATTGAATCCAAAAGTTCGTAATATATTCGCTTCACAACAGAGCATGCACATTCAAGATTGTCCGAATTTTTTCCCACGTCCGATAATTTACAACCTTTGTAATGTAAAAGGTCACCACCTACACCGTTGACTTTATCGCCTAGACGTTCCGCAAAATATTGTAAATCTCTATAATTTTTCAATAGTTTACTAACTAGTTTAAAAACTCTATCCGTGGGATCGTTTTCAACAAGAAAATTCAATTTATCCGATATATCATTGAAATANCCCGACCACGCCCACCCATGGTGGGTGGGTAGGTGAAGGGGTGAGGCGGGGGGGGCCTAGAATCCCCTAAATTACCCTACTTAGGTAATACAAAGAAATTATTTGAAGTTTTATAATAAACTATTATTATAGTTATAAACTATCAATAAACAAATTGATTTATAGAATGTAATTTCATAAAATTAAAAAAAAAAAATGATTGTGAGATTGGCAAAACGCTATAAACTTTCAATAATAGATTGCAAAAAATAAATAAATCTAATAGTAATTGTTAATTTTTTTAATTAAAATAGGGCAATGTAATAAAGTAATATATGTAGTTATTATAGTACTCTTTTTATGATGTAATTTTAGAAGGAGTAGTAAGAAAATATCTTAAAATTTAAGATATAAGTAATTGTTATTTTATATGTTACATTCAAGTATTTAAAAAAAACTATAGTAAAATGATTATTTTTATAGATAATATGTTTACTACAGTAGAATTTTGATAAGGTTAAGAATATTGCGTTCTTTGAAAAAGGAAATTTTACTCAAAAGAAATAAATATTATAGATAATACAAATAAATTATTTGTAGTTTTATAGCTAAAAGATTTGAATGTGGTAGGTTAGACTAATTAAAGCAATTAATTTAAATTATAAGCTGTTAATTATTAAAATAAATACATAAATTCATTAAAACTTCACAAATTTTAGTATTACCAATTGGAATCAATCTGTTATATTTTTATAAATAAGTGTTAAATACAAACTAAAATTNCCCTAACGAATTTTAGTATTACCAATTGGAATCAATCTGTTATATTTTTATAAATAAGTGTTGAATACAAACTTAAATTCTTAAATAATTTTAAGTCAATTTTTTACTTTTAATAGTTCAAAAACCTTAGTAAGTTAAAAAAATAATTTCTCTTGAACTTTAACTTATCCAGGTTCCACTGTATTTTAAAATTGGCATCAGTGACGTGCCAAGAAAAGGGCATAGGATGATATAAAGTTCATACACTTTGCAATATTTAATTGTTATAATTGAGTTATTTAATATTAGAGGATGCTAACACATAATTTTAAAAAATACAGGGTTGGGCAGAGGAACCTGACACATTTTAATAACCACTTGCGCGGCCGCTATTAATCGGAAGAGGTTGAAACTCCGGGAAAATAAACTAGACACTTAAAGGTTTTTTTTGTTTATTTACCAAAAATTATATCGGCTAAATGATGGCCGTTACAAGCAATACAATTTTCGAGGCGTTTTTCGAAATTATCATACACTTTTTTCAACATCGCTGGCTTTATTTCTGCAATTTCTCTCCTAATATTGGCTCTCAGCTGGTCCAAGGTTCGAGGTTTGTTAGCGTAGACACGTTGCTTCAAATAGCCCCACAAAAAGAAGTCGCACACTGAGAGATCGGGCTAACGTGGTGGCCATGGAAACTCAGTGTTGCGAGACAGCAGACGGGTGCCGAATTCTTCGCGTAGGAAATCCAACGTCTTTTTCGCCGTATGGCACGTGGCGCCATCTTGTTGAAAGAAGGTGCGACGAAACTTGCGTTTCNAGGTGCGACCAAACTTGCGTTTCTTCTTCAACTCCGGTATTAAGAACGTTTTTAACATCTCCAGATAGCGCTCCGTGTTGATCGTTCCTTGAAAGAAGTAAGGCCCCACTATCCCCATTCTGCAACTCCACACCAAACAGTCACGCGTTCGGAATGTAACGGCTCCTCGACTATCTGCTGAGGGTTCTCCGTAGCATAATAACGACAGTTTTGTTTGTTTACTGTCTTGTTCAAATAAAAATGAGCTTCGTCGCTAATCATTAAAAACTTACGGTCAATTTCTTCGTTGTCCAACAACTCCTTCATTTCTTCTGCGAATCTTAATCGAGCTGCATAGTCGGTATATTTCAATTCCTGGGTTATGAGAATTTTGTAGGGATGAAAATTCATCGCTTTCAACATTCTGCTAAACGATCGACGAGACATTCCGAGAGCTTGAGCATGTTTACCGGCAGAACGGCGTGGACTTCGTTGCAAAGAGGTGCGAACGCGTGTCTCATTTTCAGGGGTTCTTACCGTTCTTGGTTGCCCTGGAGGCTTTTGTTTCGTGGCTGTGGCTGTTTGTCGGAAGTTTTTGACCCACAGATTCACAGAATTACGAGAAGGAACCGGATCTCGTGGACGAAGAGAATATTCAATACGAAAATCGCGAATTGCTTGAACGTAGAACTGAGTTATGAAAAAACGCTCGCAAACGAACGCGCGTTGTTGCGGCGGCCACTTCTCCATACTGGAACTGTACTGATATGTAAACATAAACCTTCAACCATCTATTTTTTGCTCTCGGAGTTACAGCGCCCTCTTTTCACTTAGAGGGGAATTACGATTTTTTAAAATGTGTCAGGTTTTTCTGCCCAACCCTGTATTATATTTATAAATTTTATAAATTAAGATAAATAGATAATAAATAAAGTTTTACTTATTCACTTTTCATTGTGTCAGTGCTAGGTTTTACAGTTTTTCTTGTACTTGAAAGAAAGTAGTTTAGGTGGGATAAATTTCTTCCGATAAAAATTATTACATATTTCTACAAAATAATGATAAAAAATAATTGAAACGGTCATTTCAAAAACGATATAAGTAATAAAATTTAAATCTCCATGTATCAAAAAAAACTTAATAACTCTAGAACTCCAACTTGTTTTGCACTTACACCTATATATTAATTTATTTTTAAGGTTTCTGGTATTCATAATTCATAGTTTTAAATAGTCTAACTTTGACCAAATTCATTAAATTGAAATAAAATATGTTTGATTTGCATTGTTTTTGCAGTGAATAGAAATTTATAATATGAAATCTAAATCAAGAAGTAAAATAAAATAATATATTTTTTTTTCCTAAAAATTTAACTTATCTTAACTTGATATGGGTAACAACTTTTTTCAAAATAAAAATTTTGTTGTTTTTGCTTAATAAACCATTGCACTTTTAATAAAACATTTTAAAAAAAATAAAATATTTCTCTTTAATAACAAAAACTTAACTTGACAAAATGTTATAATACAGAAACATTTTTGAATGAAGTCATTGACTTTTGTAGTAAATATGAATCTGACAAATGAAATTTTTACCCANATAGTAAATATGAATCTGAAAAATAAAATTTTTACCCAAAATACATAAGTATACATAATAATGTATAATTATCAAATTTGATAAAGTCATTACTGAAAAATCAGTAACAAATGTAGTTTTTGAAATGGCTGATTCAATTGAAGAGCTGGTTTCAAAAACAACCAGCATTTTGTATAACATACAAATTCATGCAATTTTGAGCCTGAATCAGGGTTAGATAGTAAAATGTATATTTGGTTTTATTTATACAATGCATAATACACACTTACTGGTGTTCAGTAAGTAAGGAAACAGGTCAATTGTTATAAACATAAGAACTATAGAAACCTATTTCCTTACTTACAGAACATGTATACATGTAGATGTATAAAATGTATAATACTTTAAAAAATTTTTATTCTTTAATAGATCACACTGATTTTAAACCTTTTATTTAATAAACATCAGTTATGATCTCATAAAATTAACAAAATATTAACTTTTTCATGTTTTTATATTTTGTGTGATAAATTATGCGTTAGTCATTCTTGTGGAAATTTTTTGGGATTTCACCGATTATATTTTTATATTTTTAAAGTGAAGTAAAAATTAATTAAATAAATACAATATTTTAATATTAAAAAAAAATCTATTTTTAATTATGAATCATTTGTCATGATATAAGTATTGTTTGTAAAAAAGTAGATGTGTAATATGTACATATCATACTTATACTTTTGTGTATTATACTGACCCAACTCTGACCTTAATAGGCAAACGGGCAAAAGTGTCATTTTGTTGAGGCCCACAAAAAATATAATATATGATTTTTTGTTAATTATTTCTATGTACACAATTTTATTCATTTTAAATGTAAGTATAGTATGTTCATATTAATTATACATTTTTTGTTCTAATAATAATGTATTTATCAGAATATAGACAAGATATAATAAAAATTAGTAATTATAACTAAATAATTAAAATATTGCAAAACATTTTTCTATACTAATATAATAACTTTATGGATTAATTAAGTAATGGATTATTCAATTAAATTAAGATTACGATTAGATCCAAAAATATTTATGTAATGTAATCATTGTAGGAGAGATCTAGAAAATATTAAGGTTAAATTTTAATTTAAAAATATTAGTAACACAATGTTAAATAAGCCATTTAAAATTAAATTTTTTATTTTATTAATAACTAATTTTGTAAATATTTCTGTATAGTTGATTAAATTCTCTTTAAAAGTGTAATTTTTAATTTTTTCATGTTATTTTTTATTTTAATACAAAATAATATTGAAATGTAAATAATATTATATCTATTATAGACTGATTAAGTATTAAGCTTATTTTTTTGTATCTTGTACAGCATTAAAAAATTGAAAATTGTACCATTTTAAATTCAATAACTATGATTTGAATTTTTATGGTTTAATTTATCAAAATAAAATATAATATGGTCTTGGTAATATAGTGAAATTCTAAGAATATTTAACATACTAAAAAATAAATTTTGAATTTAAATCTATGATTTTATTTTAAGAGCAGTGATAAATGTCAAATTAATTCAAAAATGAAATAACAACAATTAGATAATTGATTTACTCTTTATTTTGAAATTAGTACTCTTTTAAATCGTATAAATTGATTCTTATTGATATTGTGTAAGTAGTAAATATAGTTATTAAAATAGTTAATTAACTAACATACCAATGTACTGCAATAAAAATAATATACACATTGATAGCGATGAAACTTAACTGAGTTTTTATAGCCGATAGGAGGTTTTAATAAGATAAGTTACCTCTAACATCTCTAGGAAGGGTTAATTATTAATAATTTTTTTTTTTGAAAAAAGATTAAAAAGTTATTTAAAATTTAAGTTGGTATAAAAGTATAGAAACACTGAATATTCATTATTGCCAGTATTTATAAAAATACCCGTTCCTTATCTTTTTTTTTATTAAGAGGTTTGGTTTTACCTGTTAAGCGTGAAAAGGAAAAAAGGGAACTTTTTATTCGCGCAAATTGAAAATAACTAAAATACTACCATATACATATAAGTACAGAGTGTTCAGTAAGTCAGGAAACGGATTTCTATTGTTCTCATTGTTACAAACAATGAGAACAATAGAAACCCGTTTCCTGACTTACTGAACACTCTGTATAATTATAACCTAAAATTAACCTTCTAAATGTAATCGTGTTTAGACTTTTACATAAATTTATTAACAGTCCTTTGCACTACGAGTGTTATGTGCTAACCGTCAACAATAACATGTATGTTGGTTAAACTATACATGAAACTATTTTGAAATGATAGTATTGTAGTTAAATCTCTTGTATGTTAATTATTCTTATAGTAATACTTTTACTTTAAAAAATTAAATCTATTGATAATTGTTAAATTTTGAACTTAAAGTAAGGTAATGTATTAGAGTAATACATGTAGTCATTAGATTAATTATCCGATTAAATTCAATTAGAAGGAGTAGTAAGAAAAAAATTAGCTTAAAATTTTAAGTTAAGCACACGAAAAAAAGGTTTTTACAAAATAATATTAAAAAATAATTGAAGTACTGGTTGTAACAAATAAGTTCAATTTTAATTATTTAATACAGGGGAGTCTATTTTTGGTAAGATACATGATAAATTTTATTATACGTATTATTATATGTATTTTGTTATTATAGAGGATTGGAGGGATTTGTATTTTTTACACTCTTTAGAAAATATAAATAGATTATAAGTTTTAAATTATTATTTAGTTTAGTTTTAACTTCAGTAACATAAAAGAACTCATAAAGTTTTGTAATTAATGATTTCATATCCATTTATATCATCCATATTATGGAGTAATGCCAAGATGAAAAAAAAAATGAGTGATGATTTATGTAAAATACTAGTAACTGATGAGAAATAAAGTATTTATGTAAAATATTAATAATTGATGAGAAATAAAGTAAAATATATGTTGTAAATAAAAAAAGTTTTACTAATTTGATCTTATTGATAAGTCATTAATAATTTTTTTGTTTTATAGATATTTTTTATATTTTAATAACACCTGTACAGTTCTTAAGCAAATATTAGTAGTTAAAAAGCATGTAAATATATAGTTTTTTCTATAACCTGATCGATTTTCTTATTTTTAAGATAATTAAAAGTATTATAGAAAAAAAATCTTTTTTACTGAAACAAATAATCTTAAACTTTTAAATGTATTTTTCTGGTACACTCAATATAATTATTTGTTCAGCTAAAACTTATTTTATAGTTCAAATATGATATATATTTTTTTTNTTTTATAGTTCAAATATGGTATATATTTTTTTTTACTATGAAAACTTAATCATTAACTTCTGGGTATGGAAAGCAGGTCGAGTATGTGTTATAAAAAAATTTTTTTTTTATTATTAGTGATAAATACAAAAAATATACTTTAAGCATAGTCTAAGAGGGCAATAATCTTATTATATAATAGGTTTTTATCTATAAAATAATAATTATATCAAAAGTTTTAAACATTGTTAATTTGGTTCAAGTTGTCTGTATGTATTTTGTACACAAGAGGTAAACTATTCTAGTTTTTCAAACAAACAAAAAAAAAA